CAATATTATAGGAAGAAATAGGCTTATTGCAGCGAGGGATCTTGCTCATTGTCTCACAGTAGCTTCCTTTAATGTTGGGGTGAGTCTTTCCTTATGTTCTGACTTGATATAAATCTGATCAATTTATAGAGAAAGACAACTGACCGGCAGAAGTGGTCCCACTGGGACTGCTTGAAGCCAGGTCAATTGTTCTTCCATCAGCGTGTTGACAATGCTGGCACTATTCATGTGTCAGCTTTAGGGGGGTTTGCTCAACTTCCTGTCACCCAGCAGAATGTGGTCACTGCTGCTATTGAGGCAGCTGTTCCTGGTGCTGCTCCTCCTGCTCTTGGGTCAGCAGCAGAGATTGCACGTAGAGCAAGCAAGGCTGAGCGGCGGCGGATAAGCAAGCAGACGCGGTCTGACGTTGTCTCTCTGCACGCATGCCTTGCCAAAGCTCACAGAATCCTAGGGAAGAAAAACTTTGTAAGTGATTCAATTCAACTCATTTGAATCTGACTGACTTGATTAATAAATCTTAGGCAAGCTTTACACCTATTGATGATATGTGATATGGATGTTTCAAGTCTGCTGATATGTGGTTGCCAGTGTGTTAGGAAATAGGGATTCACTTGTAATGAGCTTTAATACTTTCTTCTATATATATAACATTAATGTGTCGATCTGTGTGAAACAATACCAAGAAAAGAGGAAGTCGTATATAACTGGGCTGTTGGAGCAACAGAAAAACAGATGGCAAGCATGCATTAAAATGCCGGTGCAATGGTGCGGTGGGCATGTTTGTCCACGGGCAAAGTGATGCCCATACGGGACAATTGCGTCACTGATCTGTTCGCCTGTTGCTCCAATATAGATCAGATTAAAAGGAATGTACTTGATTATAGGTGACTAAGATATGTATAATATGCAGAGTGTAGGTAAGTAAGATACTATTTCTTGGGAGACTTCTGTGCTGTAACCTGCTGTGGAACATGGGTCGGAGTAGTTAGCACATGAGCAGGACGAAGTTTACTGTAACGAAGGTTGTGGACGGGTCGGATAATGACAGAGTGTGCATTGGATCGCACATAGCGCTTACGGGGCTGGATATGATCACTTATAGTAACACGGTGCTTAAGGTGAGTATTAGTGGAACGAATATGGGAAGACGATGCAACAGGGGCAGAGACAATAGTGTGAGAAGGACCATGATTGTTGTGTAGATTAGGTAGCTTGATAGCAGACACCGATTGAGCATCGACAGGGAGTGATTGTGTAAGAAGGCGTGCAGAAGCACTGGCCGTTACATGAGCCCGATGGCGGTCAAGTACCTGCTGAAGGGCATCAACAAGGGTTAGAGACAGTGGGATATTGGCCATGACAATGAATTGGGCTGTGTGGAGAGCATCAGATAACAAGCTTAATAAGCAGTGGAATAACACAAACCAGATAAGTAAGCACTTTATGTGTATAAAGGAGTGTGTTGAGTTGTGAGTAGAGACTGTATGAATGTCAGTATTGTATGAAAGAACAGTAAACAAATGCCACTTACAAATTAAGGATGGAAGAAGAAATGGGAATGGAAGCAAAGGTGAAGGTATATATATACCAGGGTAGTTTAGGGCAGACTAGATCTGATCATTTGATAGACCAATGGGGAATGATTTGTAAGCAGACAATATATGCACAAACACAACTTATGTAATCAAAAAAGCGGAAATTGGCACAAGTAATTGAGCAGCAGGAGTCCATTGGAACTGTGTAACCTTATGAGCATGATCTAACCTTAGAAAAGAATGTGAAACCGTGTATTAACGTGAAGTACATACAATATCCAGCCGGTTCATATGATGAAACCGGATGAGTTGACGATATGGGCGATGAATGATACTCCAGAAAGTGGTACCGAAATCATCTTCGACAATGGTGTCAGTGGAGACAACAGGGATGGGCAGCATAAAAGGAAGTTATGAAACCAATGACAATGAAGACACAAATACGGATGAGGGTGGTGTGGAGTATGTGTACAGTGATGATGTATACGGCGATGACTTGTTGATGGTGATGGAAGAACATGTTGATGATGATGAGTGGAAGCAAACATTGACGAGGCAGATGGAAGAAAACATTGACGAGACGGGTGGAAGAGAACATTGACGAGATGGGTGGAAGAGAACATTGACGATGAGAAGACAATGGTGATGGAGGGAAGAGGCATGTGACAAGTTTTGAGAGTATCATTGATAATATCGTGAAAATGTTGGTGGCGACAATGAGCAAGAGGCAATGACGAGGAGAAGATATGAGCACAAGGAGATTTGACGAAATTGAATCATTTGAAATCAGAAAAAGGTGTTGTCCCGAGGGCCCCCTCGGGACAAAAGTGCCCGAGGGGGCCCTCGGGATGTTGTTATATAGCTAGGTTCCGCGATCCGCTTGAGGGCAGCATGCCGCCTGGCGAGCGGAAAGCCACAGCTGGTATTCTGCTGCCGGACGGCATTAGGGTTCTGTGGCGAATGAGCCATCGTTGGTGATTGGTAGTGTACTATACCATTGGGAACATCCACGGCGTGCTGCACAACGCAACCAATACCAGCACCTTGGACACTTCTCAAGCCGGCCAGGCCCCTAGGGTGCAAATCCACCCTTCTATGCTAGCATTTGCCAGAAACTACCAAGACTGTGCGGGCAATTCGTCACCC